ATAAGAAGGTTAGTTTAAATAGAAAACAAGTGAATTTCACAAAATATTCAATGGATTTTTTGCCCTGGCTTTTTTACACCCAAGACTAGTTATTAAAAAAAGCAAAAATAAATTGTTAATTCAGTTCAATTTCCAAAAATTAACATTGTATACGTTTTCGGTATACTTTTCTCCTTATGTACAAACATTTATTTTTATTATTCGTTCACTTAATCAGACTGTAATATGTTTGAAAAGTTCACCAAAATGTTTTCAAAAAAGCAACAAAAAATTAAAATTACAATAAAAACAATATTAATCTAGGTACAACATTCAAACTAGATTCAAAAGTTGCGTATTACCTAATAGTATTTATATTCTAAACAGCTGATAAATCGGCTTAATAGTTTTTAAATAAAACTCAAATGGCTTTTTTACACCATGGCTTTTTTACCCCACTCTACCCTACTTTATTTCACGAATTAAAAAATGATTCCTATGTCATTTCTATTGACGAATATAATTTAAAAAATCGTGTACATATAAAAAACATTTACTAATTATCTGCCAACAATGAAGTTTTAACGTATTTGAAGAGTTAATACACGTTTCGTTTAAAGTTATATGGTAAAATTTTAATTCAGAAAACGGTAACCTTTTCTTAATCCCAAGCCTAATAATAATTTTGATCATTATTTGCTGTATAAAATTGTTTTTTAAATATGGAAATTTTAAGAATAAATTATTATTAAATTTCCATAAAAATTATTTATTTCTTTAGAGTAACAGTGTCAAAAATAGTTACACATGTTAAACATTAAAATTAAAATTTTTGAAATTAACCAATTTTTTTATAATAATAATAATTGCAAAAATTAAGTTCCTATTTCAAATCAGTAAATATTTTCTGTCAGGTCAATTAAAAATAAAGAAAAAATAAATCCAGTTTGAGGTTATGTTTTCTAATTCGAATGGAGAGAAATTAAGAATATATTTGATCCATAAAAAAAGTATTTATTGTTATTCTTGGTGATAAATCGTTAGATTAATTACTTAAAATATATTTAAAAATTTTCTTGGAGGTTGAATAAGACATTCATATACTAAAAATTCTTTTATAAATAAGTGTATAAATTAACGAATGAACAAGAAATTTATAATGCAATATTAATTTATATTTAAATTTAATACAATTACAAATATATAAATACTTAGAATCCTTTACTATTATTGTTTTTAAATACCACAATATTCTACAAGAAAACATTTACTTTTACTTTAAAAATAAAAACAAACACCTTTGACACTTTATGCAACAGAAATTTGAGGTTATGTTGCATTCTAGCGGAAAGTGCTCGCGCCATGCAAGGCACTAGAAGATGTCGGCGAGATAAACTGCCATGCAAATTTCAGTGGTAGCGCTAGCATATATCTAGGCTTCCATTAAATTTTTCTACCTGGGTACCGACAACCATATCGGAATAATTATCTTAAGAATAACACCTGACTCTAAACCAAAGAGTTCAAATGACGTCTAATAGATGTCACTAATTGCTGATGTAGTCGAAATCTTCCTTAATTAAAATTCTTAATCAGCAAATAATTTCCTACATTAACTATCGAATTTGTTCATAACTTACCAGGAATGTTCTCCTTGCGTAGCTGAATAAATCCCAAAAAAAATTAATTAGATCGGAGAAATAGTTTATGCATAATTCCATTTGTTAACTAAAAACATGTAATTTTTCAACGGAATTTCCCCACTTTTTGTACATCGAATTTCAATTTTTTTTTTTGGAAAGTACACTTAAGAAGTCAAACTTTCATCCTATTTAAATGGCCAATTGATTTTTTTTATAAGTGCATAATAAAAAGGATTAAAAAAGAGTGTGTTTTTTTTCATAAACAAATGGAATTACTCAGCCAATTTTCACTTTATCAATTAGCTATAAACGGCATATAATTCCATTCGTTTCCACAAAACTTTTCAAAAAAAATCCGACTTAACTTAAAGGGGGGGGGGGAGTTAACTTTTAAAAAAAAAAATTCCTGAGAATTATTGACCGATTTTAATCTGTTTCTTTTTAATTTCATGTATTTTTTTATGCTAAATCCAAATATGAATTTATATATTTCTTAAATGAAATATTTTTTGTAAAAATAAAAAAATTTTTTTTTAACAACAAATTTTTATTATTATTTATTATATTTAACAAAAATTTTTCTTCGTACATCTTATTTCATTTAATTTAAAATAATGTTATTTAAAAAAAAACTGAAATTATTTACCAATAAGCGTGTAGCATCGAGTTTAAGCGTTGTAGTGGCAAAATAATTATTTTTTATGGGTTAAAGTAATTTTATTAACTTTTTTTTTAAATAAGAACAAAGGTGTGTTATAAAAGAAACGATATTATCTTTTTTATTAAATACTATTCTGCCGTCCTACAGAAAAAGATACATAAGCGACATTACCATCAATCCGAGAAAATCAAAGAAAACTTTTTGCCTCCGGAACTATAAGTCAAATTAACTTTTTTAAAAAAATTTTTGATCAATATTTAATAAAAAAATATTCTGTTTCTCATTATGTAAAAAAAATTAATTTTTTAAACAATTTCTATTGTAAAATGGACATACGGGTTTCTAGTAGAAATAAATACAGACGAATAAAAGCACAAAGTCGCTTATGTTCTATTTCTCGGTAAACTTACTCGAGCTGAGCGGTGTCGTCCAGAGGAAAAAGATACATAAGCGACTTAATATAAAAGAACCAAGCCTGTGTAGTAAAATTATCGCTTTTCTTCTTCTGTAAACTCGACTCACTGTCAGACCATTTTACAGAGGAAAAAGATACATAAAGACAGTCAAAAGAAAGTCGCTTCTTTTAGTCTGTAAAGTCAGCTCACTCTCAGGCTCCTTTACCGAGTAAGAAGATACATAAGCGACTTTGTGTATCATTTTGTCCTGTAAGTTGGTGACGTATGCAGCGTCGTTTACCGAAATATGAACCCACAATGTGCTTTATGTATCTTTTAACTCTGTATTTCGTCACTTTTTCCATTTTTGTCATTTTTAAACAATCTTTTTTTGCAATAAATAATTAAATATTTTAATTCTTTTTTACACAGTTAAATGCAGCTTTTTTTATGAATCCAATGATACCAAAAACTCAATTTTTTCAAAAATGTCGCTTATGTATCTTTTTCCTCTGGACGGCAGTATTTACAATAAACATATTTTTAATCATAATGATAATGTTAAAATGAATGATGAGTGTATGGATGATTAAAAATATGTTTATTGTAAATAGTATTTAATAAAAAAGATAATATTGTTTCTTTTATAACACACCTTTGTTCTTATTTAAAAAAAAAGTTAATAAAATTACTTTAACCATAAAAAAATAATTATTTTGCCACTACAACGCTTAAACTCGATGCTACACGCTTATTGGTAAATAATTTCAGTTTTTTTTAAATAACATTATTTTAAATTAAATGAAATAAGATGTACAAAGAAAAATTATTGTTAAATATAATAAATAATAATAAAAATTTGTTGTTAAAAAAAAATTTTTTTATTTCTACAAAAAATATATAAATTCATATTTGGATTCAGCATAAAAAAATACATGGAATTAAAAAGAAAAAGATTAAAATCGGTCAATAATTAACGAAGTTATGACCATTTTTGTGAATTTGACGGCTGAATTCTGTTTGTGGCGGGCGAAATTCCCGCGTACCGAGTTCCCCCACTCCGCCGTCCAAGGGTTGAAAAAAATATTCAAGTACTTTCACTTGATATAAATGAAAAATAAAAGCACAAAACGTTAAGTTTAATTTTTTTTCATAAAATACATGTTTTGAACTAAAAGTCGTGCGAGTTTCAACAAAAAATATTAATAATTAACTTCTCAGGAATTTTTTTTTTAAAAAAGTTAACTCCCCCCCCCCCCCCTTCAAGTTAAGTCGGATTTTTTTTTGAAAAGTTTTGTGGAAACGAATGGAATTATATGCCGTTTATAGCTAATTGATAAAGTGAAAATTGGCTGAGTAATTCCATTTGTTTATGAAGAAAAACACACTCTTTTTTAACCCTTTTTATTATGCACTTAGATAAAAAAAATCAATTGGCCATTTAAATAGGATGAAAGTTTGACTTCTTAAGTGTACTTTCCAAAAAAAAAATCGAAATTCGATGTACCAAAAGTGGGGAAATTCCGTTGAAAAATTACATGTTTTTAGTTAACAAATGGAATTATGCATAAACTATTTCTCCGATCTAGTTAATTTTTTTTGGGATTTATTCTGCTACGCAAGGAGAACATTCCTGGTAAGTTATGAACAAATTCGATAATTATTAACAAAGTTATTAAACAATTAAAGAAGTGCTATTTTTAATGGTCTAAATTCATTTGCAACTAAACTAATTAACCTTTTTCAACACATGACCCATCATTTGAAAGGTATTTCCAAGCTCTATAACTTTCAATAACAACTTTTTCCCCTAAAACTTAACCGGAAGCAACGAGCATCGAAAAACCATGTTTTACAAACTTTGGCGATTGTTTACACTGTTTTTTGCACCCGGAAATCGAGAGCAAACTGTGGGGCTCTTATAAGGAGCCCCCAAACTACCAGAAACCGTTGAGACTTTGCTGTTTGCATTTTTGGGCAGTTTTTGCACTCACCGACTGGCCTAGTAGTGGAAAAAAGGGTGATACACTTTTTTTACATTTATCGATCACATTATTTTGCTACTTTGTCTATTCCTTTATTCTAGTTTGTAATATTTATATTTCCATCTGGCACAAACTAGAAATGAATTAACTATGGTTCATGTAAGTTCATAGGTTCTTTTAAGTCATTATTAATTAAACGAACGCTTATGTATGTAACTTTAACTTGGCACAAATAAATCTTTATTAATAGAACCTACAAAATAATTCTTATAATACCTACAAATTCTTATATAAATCCATCAGTTGTTTACAAGATTAGACGTAATTTTGATTTCAGATTTAGGAGGATGTCCACTAAGGCAATTTCGATGTGCGAACGAACGATGCATACCTGTCTCTTGGGTCTGTGATAAATTTGATGACTGTGGTGACAACTCGGATGAAGAATGCAAAGGTAGGATTTGCATTGAGTTATTTACAGAATCCTTTATTGCAATTTGTTAAGAAATATATATAAAATAATTGATTTTTTCCATAATTACAGGCTTCGCACTCATCTACTAAAACCAACTATTTACTACTTTTTTTTACTGTTGCTACTATTTGGTTACTTTTTTAGATTTCTAATACTAAAAGCTACTTTTTTCTTTCTTATAGTTAAATCCGCTAATAATTGAAATAATAAAAAATTATTCTCAAAAATTTTAATAAAATCCTTAGAATCACTTCAAAAAATTTTGATAACATTCTTTGAAACGATTTAATTATTCTCAAATAATTTTAAGAAACTTTTTTGCAAGAATTCAATTATTTTTTAATTGAATTCAATTTCACGAAAGAATTCAATTATTTAAAAAAAAATTTTAATAAAATTCTTTGCAAAAACTCCAATTTTTTTTTATATACACTAAAATTTGTTTATAAGAATTCACTTATTTTCAATAAAAATAAATGAGTTTTTTTAGTCGTCAAATTTAATTTTCCAATAACTGCTATCGATATTTTTTTACTACTTTTTTTAGTCTTAAAAATACTTTTTGCGACTTTTTTCAACGTAATTATCGAGTGCGAAGCCTGTAATTATTAATATAAACAAGGTTGCCACAAACATTTGATTTTATTTTTTCCTGATTTCCAGGTAGAATTTTGACTTTTTTCTTGACCCTATAAAAAATAATGTAATTCACTCTAAAAATCATTAGATACACAAACAAATGTTTGTAATAAAATATTTGAATATCTTTAATTGTAAAATTATTCGGAACATGAACAGTTTTTTTTAATAAATATTTAATTATTATTATTATTTTTCCACAGTATACTTAAGATTTGCCTGTGGGTCAAACCGGCCGTAGGATTTTCATTGTATCAGAGTCTCAAGAAAATTATTATTAATTAGAATGTTTTTTTCATTAAAATATTTACTTTCAATGAAAAATAATTATCTTCCAATGAGAATTAGACCCTTTAATATTTCTACCTTATAATTTCAAACATTTTTGTTTTGTTATTAAAAAAAATTATTTATTTAATTAAAATTCAATCCTGTATTATTATTTACATTATTACAACCATTGTTCACATGATTCTTTACGTTTGTTGTTATTGTAGATTATACAAATGCAATATTATAGGGGGCCGTCCATAAACCACGTGGACACATTTGGAGGGGGGGTGAATCAAAATTCCACGTTTGTCCACGAAGGGGAGGGGGGGGTGTTAAAGCAAATGTCAACGTGGACATATAATCAAAGATATCTTTATCAATTTCCCTGACAATTTACTGATATTAAAATTAATTTCCCTGACAAAATTCTTTTTACAGGAAAATATGAATGTTTACGGAAAATGAGTAAAATTTATGATTTTAATTATTTTTTAAAATGACAATTATAACCCTTCCTGAATTCAATTATTTTCTACAATTTCCACCCAGTAAAAAAAAGTATTGAAAGAGAGCGAATGGCTTCGTCCATAAATTACGTCACACTTTTTAGGGGGGGAGGGGGTCTATTAAAATGTGACTAATTGTGACAAAGGGGGGGTGGGGACCTTTTATTTTGTTATGTCACACTTTATACTCTATTTATTATAATGAGAAAATTTTAATAAATAAAAATATCAAACATATTTCTTGTTTTTAAAATAGTAAAAAATGTACTAATGATATAAGTAACTTTATTGGGTGTACTTCCGAATAAGGGGGACCTCTGATTTTAGTAAAACTTGGTATACCAACGTATTTTGATGCGCTGATTACGAAAATGATAATGAAAATTGGCGCAAATTTGATGTTCATGGTGAAGAGCATAAAAAACCATAAAATTGTGGTTTTCTTGCGTATAATTCGTAAAAAACGAAGGATATACTTCCGAACAGCGCATACTTACCTCCGATATTAATGAAATTTGGTATACTTACGTAATTTTGTGCCCTGATTACGAAAATCATAGTGAAAATTGGCGACTAGATCATCTTCATGGTAAAAACCATAAAAAACACTATAAAATTGTGGTTTTTTGCGTTTAACTCGTTGGATTGGATTATTCATAATTTTTTGTGTTTAAAAATATTTGTAAATTTTTCTCTGCTTTTATATTCTGAAAAATCCAAGGTGGATGCCTCCTTCCTCCTCGAAATAAAAGCAGAAAAAAATTTACAAATATTTTTAAACACAAAAAATTATGGAGGAGGAAGGAGTTATCCACCTTGGGTTTTTCAGAATTAAATAGAAAACAAAAAATATCACAATTATCTCTGCAATCAATTAAATTTTGATTAAAAAAAAATTTCCAACTGAAGGTAAATGACTCCTTCTTCCTCCATATAAAAGCAAAAAAAATTTACAAATATTTTTAAACACAAAAAAATATGATTAATCCAATCCAACGAATTATACGCAAAAAACCACAATTTTAAGGTTTTTTTTCTAGTTTTCACCATGAACATCAAATTTGCGCCAATTTTCATTATCATTTTCGTAATCAACGCATCAAAATACGTTAGTATACCAATTTTTATTGAAATCGGAGGTCCCCCTTATTCGAAAGTAATCCACTTTATTTATGTAAAATTAGATATTGACAGTGATTCATTTTGGAAAAATTTATTAAAGGGGGGTTTACGAATTGTGACGTAATTTAGAGGGAGGGGGTTCCTTCAGATGTTACGCAGTGTGACAAAGGGGGGGGGGAGGGGGTTAAAATGGGCTAAAAACGTGTGACGTAATTTATGGACGAAGCCAATAGTATTGTCGGTGAGTTTCTGCCAATACGGTTTTCACGCGAAAACGTTTTGGCAGAAACTCACCGCCAATACTATTCGCTCTCTTCCAATACTTTTTTTTACTGGGCAACTAAACCTTCGCCTCTGAATCAATTAATTTAAATAATTTTCCGAAAGTTCTTCTAAAATTCTGTTATATTTTAAAATTATTTTTGAATTTGATTGATAAATTTTAATTAAAAATTTTTAACATGATTGTTTCCTCTAAAATGTTAAAAATAATTTTAAAATGTTATTTTTTTGTATATATTTGAATTTTTGAAAATATGTAATTGAGAATATTGAATTTTAAAAGATTAGAAGCTAATTTTCATTAATTTTCATTTTTAAATGTACCTTTAAAGATTTTTTATTCTACAAAAATTGTAACAAAAGACTTGAAATAAATTAATTATTTTCAATTAAATTTTACAAAATTTCAACTATTCAAAAAGATTTGTTTATAGTTATTTTTCGCATTATAAAAATCAAAATAACTTGTACTTTTTTTTTACTAAAAATTGTGGTATTTTGTCGCAATTATTTTAAATGAGTCGAAAAAAGTCACAATTTTCTTAATTTCCCTGACAGAAAATTTTTTCCTGACATTTCCCTGACTTTACTGACATTCTTGCTTTGAAATATGTTCAAAAATAATCTTTTTTATTTTTTAACATACAGGAGTAAAAAAAACTTATTTTTTTAATTTGCAATATCCACGTGGACAATTGTATAGGGGGGAGGGGGTTTCACAAATGTCCACGACTGTCCACAACGGGGGGCGGGGGGGTCAAAAATTGGTGAAAAATTGTCCACGTGGTTTATGGACGGCCCCTTAGTATGGCCGGTTTGCCCCACTCTCCCTTACTTAAGATAGATTTTATTTTATAAATTAAAAATATTAATTTCATCTGAAAAAGAATAAAAATATCCACAAGAATACATTACTGCATTTCTTGTAATAAAACAAAAAATTTCATCAGAGTAAAAAGTCCCAATTTTATAACTTTTCAAACAGCGAATTCAACTTATAAAAGTAAATGTACCTAATATTTCATAAACTAGTTTGAAACATAAATTTTACAGCTTTCGAGGCTATAAAATAAAAAGAGGATCAGAGAGGAACTATAAACATTACATTGATCGAGTGAATATTTTTTATGATTTTTTCTAATCAAAATTCTCTTATTTTAATGTCAAATACATTTTGAGTATTCATTATACCATAATACTAATAAAAAATTGAAAAAACCGAATTAAGAGATTAGATAAATTCTACTCTTTTTCTGATAAAAAATTCATCTACTAAATGATCTCTCCAATTTGAAACTAAAGAAAAGAAGAAAGATGAAATTTTCTTATATTTTCCTTTTTATAATATTGGAACAAAAGTCGTGGGGAATAATTTTTTACTTGCATAAAAAAGAAAAGCGGGAAATTTTCTAGTGGAGTTAAAAGTTAGTGCTTAAAGAAATCCTCAAGCGTGATGAAATTAGAACTTGAAATTTATAATGATTGAAATAAAATGAGATTTTATAACAAATTTTCAAATGGTATGCTAATTATACGTAAAGAGAATTTCCATCTTTTTCATTTGTCATATTATTATTATATATAGGAAAGTTCAGAAAGCCGTGGACTTTATTAAAGTTTATTCGCATTTTGCAAGATTACTCTAGAGCAAGTGATAATAATTATTTTTTAATGAAATTAAATGCGCAGTTGGCCTTGTCATAGCAAAATAATATCTCTGTTTAATTAGAGATTTCCTCATATTTCCGTTAATCCATTTCACAATTATTTTCGATTATAATGACGACTCGGTCTTTTCAAAATTAAAAATTTTCAATTATATTTTTTAAGATAAAAATTACCGAATTCATATTCTCGTCGGGGAATTTTATCAAAACTACTGGACAAATATTTAATTTTTAGAATTCATAAAAAAATTCAGTATTTCAAAAATGGAGGTGTGGAAAAATTTAAACTTCCCACTCAGATTATATCACGTGTCGGAAAAATCCCAGGCTAATGGGCGCGAACCAAGTACCCTTGGTCCTACAACGTCCGCCGAGCAAGGCATTTATCCGACCGAGCTAATCTGTCGGTTCTATTTTGCATTAATATCAATTCGTTTTTCGACAATAATTTATAAGTAACTATTTCTATATGTTGAAATGTTAAATTAAT